GCAAATGTGCCCTTCCACACTCACACACACTCTCTCTCTCTCTCTCACCTTTCCTTCTGAGTGGAGGAAGCACTGAAGCAATCATTTCAGTCATAAATCATGGACACATGGTGAGCAGGACACAGAGGCACGACCCTTAACCTGTTTATGCTTCAGAAGCAGTTACATCTTTCTCAATGGAATTAGCATTAATGCTCAGGTACCTTTCAAATGTCTGTTAACACTGTCCACTCTTTCTCTGACTATGATATTCCTTCATCCATCAACACCATTTTTGAAATTTTATATTCTGTCCTTCCAATTTTCAAAAATTTTTCTCTCCTCTTCTTTTTTTATTTTTGTATTTCCTTTCTCACCTCACTTTTTGAAATGAACCATTACAGGAAGGACTATTTATAGAAAAATTAATGTGCAGCTTTTCCAAGATGCTTTTCCAAGTAGCAAAAAAAAAAAAAAAAAAAAAAAAAAGGCTTTTGTTTTACTTTTTCCTTTGGACAAACATGTCATTTGAACTCTTGATTACACAGAGATTCAATTGCATGTTAACCCTTTCCTCTGTGTGTGGTTTAACATTTCAATGTCTGAATGTATAAAGTCAGGGGAGATAGGAAAGGGATCATCAACGATGCTTGGGCTCTGGGCCAAAGAGGAGAATCAGGCACCACATGAAACAGGCTCAGAACAGAGAGCAGGCCTCAGCTGCACGCCATATGTCAGGGAAAGCAAAGCACTTTCCTCTTTGTAGTAGCATTATCTTTGATACATTACCCATTTGGCAGTCCTGACTAATAAAACATTTTTTTTTTAACCAAAGCAATCTTGTGAAATTCTTGGTTTTCACCCTTCCATGTTTTAAAGTCACCAGAGTCAGCCGTGGCCTTTTCTGAACATTAAGACTGGTGGTCTTTAACAGAGACTTGTAAGGCACATATTTGCCGATGTTAAATCAGATGAAACAGACTTCAATGTTTCTGGGGGCTGGAATCATGGAGGTTAACGTCTGTCCATTTGACGAACCATATGTCCTTGAGGCACAACTAAAATAAATGGGACACAAGAGTTCCGTCTTTAGTCAGATGATTCAGTTCATGACCAAGGTGGAGGAAGGGGCCGCGGGCACTGCCATGCTGTGCGATTGCGTGTGTTTGGCTGCATGGTAGCCTACCTCTGACCTCAGGCGCCCGGTCACTGTCCTGTTATGTTAGACAAAGTACGCGAGTTGTTGAAGGCCTTCCAAGTAGCAACATCTGGGTAATGCTTCCCAGTTCAAAAGGGGCCTCGGGGAACTGAGCCTCCAGGACTTGCACATCTGTTTCAGGTTTGAAAATATGGTGCTCTTATCGTCAGGGTGTCTTTGAAGATATTTTAGTTGCTGATTGACAATTTCACCATTTTTCAGAAATATCGGTAGAATGTCACAAACATGTTTTGTGAGTTGTGCTCTAAGGTTTTCATTGCTTCTCAGAAGAGAACGTATTGGTAATTGATCAGCCAGGCCCCTGATAGGCAATGCTTTGGAAATGTGGTGTCTCTGTTTCTCTTTTTCGATGAGAAAGATCATTCATAGCATTTTCCAGTTTCTGAAGTCAAGGTAATTAATATGTCGTTCTCCGTTCTGTTCTAGTTTGGTAGTTCCTAGGAGTTTGTTGACCTAAAAAATTAATGGAACAATTGATTTGGTGACAGTTAAATATAAAACCGCACCAAAATATTGTATTGACATTCCAAGATGGATAGAATGGCATGTGTGATTAATAAGTTTACCAATATAGGTTCAACTAAAATTTAACCCAGGCATGCAGAAAAAAGATACTTAGCTAGAATTAAAGCTTTATTTTTAGTATCTCTTTTCTAACAGTGATATTTTATGATTACTAAAGTAATACATGCTTACTTTACCAATTTGAGTAAGACAAAAAAATGTATTGAGAAAATAAAAAATTCAAATAATTCTTTTAACTAGTGATAGTTGGTTTGAACATTTTGTTGAAATATATACTATTACATATGTGTTATATGCGTGCGTGCATAGGTGTGTGAGCATATGTATGTGGACACTGGGAATATACGTGCCCAAGATCCCACAAAACTAAATGGTAAAACTAAGATTCAAATCCTGGAGTCTTTGATAAGTGTGTATAAGTATGTATGTATCTAAAAACACATACTTGTCTTTCTAACACATAATTTAGATTCAGTTAAACATTATGACTACTAGAGGCCTGGTGCATGAAATTCATGCATGGGAGGGGGGTTTTCTCAGCCTGGCCTGCTCTCTCTCCAATCTGGGATCCCTTGGGGAATGTCTGACTGCTAGTTTAGGCCCGATCCTGCTAGCAATCCAGGACTGCTGGCTCCTTAACCGTTCACCTGCCTGCCTGCCGATGCCCCTAACTACTCCCCTGACTGCCTGATCACCCCCTAACTTCTCCCCTGCTGGCCAGACTTACCCCCAACTGCTTCCCTACTGGGCTGTTCACCCCTAACTGCACTGTCTCGGCCTCTGCCACTGTGGCTTTGTCCAGAAGGATGGTGGGAATGATATCCAGAAGGTTGTTTGGCTGTCTGGTCTAATTAGCATATTATGCTTTTATTAGTATAGATTACTGACTATATTTCCCTATGCTGTATTTTACTTCTCCATGACTGTTTTATGACTAACAATCTCTACTTCTCAATCCCTTCATCTTTTTTTAAATCCTCACTGAAAGATTTAAATTTTATTGATTTGATAGAGAGAGAGATTCATTGATGTGATAGAGAAACATATTGCCTCCTGTATCTACTCCAACTAGGTATCAAAGCCACAACCTATATATGTCCCATAACTGGGATCAAACCCACAATTTTTCTGGTGTAGAGGAGAATGCTCTAACCCTGTGGTCACCCAACTTTTCAGACCTCTCAGACCACCAGTTGGTAACCTCTGCTCTAACCAACTGAGCCACCCAGCCAGGGCTCACTGGTTCAGCTAGGCTTCCTGGTTCTTAGCACTGACCCCGCCCCCTCCTCCCTGCCCACTGATCATACCCCATCCAGTCTCTGTGGAGGCTCTGGGACTGCGCTGCCCCCTGTCTCCCCATTTCTGTGGAGGAATGGCATTGGGCCTGGGCCTGCACTGCTGCCTCTGTGGCTGCCTCTGTGGAAGGTGCAGCCCCCTCTCGCACACTGCCACTTCTCCTGCATGTCTGCCTGATCAACCCTAACTGCCTCTGCCTCGGCTGCCGCCACCCATCATGGCTTTGTCTGGAAGACGTCCAGTCTATCTGGTCTAATTAGCATATTACCCTTTTATTAGTATAGATTATTTACATTATGCATCTAGTCTTCAAAGACCATTTTCACATTTGCATTACATTTTATAACCATACTAGGGGCTCAGTGCACGAAGATTCATGAATGGGGGGAGGGCGGTCCCTCAATCCATCCCCTCTCCAATCTGGAAGCCTTCTCCAATCCAGGAGTTTCTGTCTGTCTTTGCAATCGTATGAGCAAATTGTCTGAGACCCCAACCCAGTTTGGTTTGTTGCTCACAAATAATAGAGGCATTTATTTTTTCTTTGCCTCATTGGTGAAGATTTCCTGGAAGTTTTAGGAAAACTTCCCTTTAATTTTTCCTAGACACTCTGGTTTTATTTATGTCTCTCACCTTTTCTTTCCCTCCATCCCCCACCACAAGAGTAACTTGCTCCAGGCTCACTTTGTTCTAGTGTCTAGAAAATCCATCTGCAACCAGAACTACAATTCCCAGTAGCATCCATAGCACTCCCCACACTCTGGGATTCTGATTTTAGAGCTGCCACCAGAATTACTATTCCCAGAATTCCTGGTGCTCCCTCCTGCTCTCTCTCCATCCCACGGCCTCCTGCTCTGCCAAGTCCTCCAAGCCACCAGCTCTCCCTCTCTGCTCTCTGTCTGGCGGCGTGGGGAGCCAAGTTCCCCAAGCTCTCCAACTCTGCTCTCTGCCCAGCACCTGTGTATGCAAATTAACCCACCGGCTTTGTTGGGTTAATTTGCATACTCACTCCTGATTGGCTGGTGAGCATAGCAGAGGTATGATCAATTTACATGTTTCTCTTTTATTTATATAGGATTGGAAATTATGTAGGTTCAGTGTAACTTATCTCACTGTTTACCCCTCTTTGTTTAGACCCATAGTTGTCCATTCTTGAATTCCTACTTTTTAACCACATTTTTTAGGTATGATTGACATACAAAATCTGTACATATTTCATGTATGCAACTTGATGAATTTGGAGATAAGTATACATCTGTGAAACTATCCTATATAATAAAAAGGTAAAATGCAAATTGACCCTCACTGGGTCACCACCTATTAATCTGTTGACAGACATTTATTAGGTCTAGTAATAATTAATGTCGTTTTCTAATACTTTTTTAAATCGAATTTATTTAAACAATACAACAAAATTTAATCAACAATATAGTTGCTGTTGTTTTCTACTACTTGTGCCCAATGCTCAGGAAGCATTTTAATCCCTCTGTTGTAAAATTCTTGTGATTTTGATGCCAAAAATTCGGTCAATGCATTTTTGAGGCATTCTTCATTATTAAATTTTTTTCCAAGAAGAAAGTTTTGCAAAGAACGAAACAAATGGTAATCGGAAGGGGCAATATCAGGAGAATGTGCAGGTTGAGGGAGAACTTCCCATTCCAACTGGCGCAGTTTTTCAGCAGTGATTCTTGCAGTATGGGGTCGTGCGTTATCGTGGTGAAGAATTACGCCCTTCCGATTAATCAGCGCGGGTTCTTTTTCTCTTAAAGCTTGGGCTAACCTTTCCAATTGGGCACTATACACTGCACTTGTAATGGTTTGGTTAGATGGTAAAAGTTCATAATGAAGAATTCCTTTAAAATTCCACCAAACACACAACATCACTTTTTTCGCATGCAAGTCAGGTTTTGGCGTGGGCTGCGGAGCCTCATTTTTGTCCAACCATTGAGGCCGCCTTTTCAAATTAACATACAGCACCCATTTTTCATCTCCGGGAACAATTTGCTCTAAAAACGGCAAACGGTTTTGACGAAAGAGGAGCGAACTGCAAATTGTGACTCTGATTACGGTTGTTGTCGGTCAACTCATGAGGAACCCATTTTCCAAACTTTTGGAATTTGCCAAGTGCACGCAATTGATTGGAAATTGTTTTTTGTGAACAATTTAAAGTTGTCGCAAGCTCTTGTTGGGTAATTTGAGGATTTTGCGCCAAAAGAGCTTGAAGAGCTTCTTGATCAAAATTGGACACACGGCCTCGACCACTTTTGTCATCTAACGAAAAATTTCCCTCGCGAAATTTCTCAAACCAACGCTGACATTTTCTGGCGCTAACTGCATCTTGACCAAGAGCATTACAGATGTTTTTTGCAGCCTCACTTGCTTTTCTTCCCAATTGGAACTCATAAAGCATGCAGTACCGAATATGCTCTTCATCCGCCATCTTCTTAGCCCTAGTTTTGCAACAAAAACCAAACCAAACACAAACTTTTTCAAGCAAAACTTGTTAATTGCACTTCACATGTTCTGTAGATACCACGTGTTTGAAGGTTATGTCAATACAAGTCAATGCCAAGCAAGATTTTAAATGAATGTTTAAAAACGACATTAAGTATTACTAGACCCAATAGGTTGTCTACATGCCTTGGCTATTGTGAATCGTGCTGTAGTAAACGTTGAAGTATATCTATCTCTTCAAGATAATTATTTTTTTCCCTTTGGATAGCGATCCTGAAGTGGAAGTGTTGAATCATACATTGTTCCTTTTTTATTTTCTTGAGAAATCTTCATACTGTTTTCCATAGTGGCTATACCAGTTTACATTCCCACCAACAGTGCCCCAGTGTTCCCTTTTATCCACATACTTGATAGCATTTATTATCTCTTGCTATGTTTTTGATGACAAACATTCTAACAACTGTGAACTACCCTGTTTATTTATTTCTTTTACTAATAACACTTAAGATCTCCTTATTAATAAAACTTTAAGTGTGCATTGTAATATTGTTAAATATAGGCACTGTAATAATTTCTATTTTGATTCATGTCAGAATATTTTAGATCACATAGTTAAATTGTTTTTCAGAAAGTTCTTAAATGCTAGAGTTTGCAACCCTTTTGGATATCTCAAATATGAGGTGTCTGCACATAGAAATGAAAATCCTAAATATATATTTTACATAACCACTATAACTGTTATTATGTCTCATCAAAATATGGATCTCTTAACCTTGTTCCTCTGAATTCTATATTAAAATATTAAATATTTTCTTCATTAAATTCACTTTTGTTGTATTTAGCATATGGAAAGACTATACTGTAATTTTAATTGCAAAATTAGGTATTTCACAGTGTACAGAATCTTATCCAGGAGCCTTTTTATAACTTATTAGAGGCCTGGTGCATGAAATTTGTGCTCGTGTATGGTACCTAGACCTGGCCTGCGATTAGGGCCATCTTCCCCAGCTGCTCGTAGCCGGCTCCACCCCCCGACGCCATCCACCCCCAATTTCCCTTTCACCAGCGGGTTATTGGTGCTTGACGACGGCTGGAGGAAAGGACTAAGAGGTTGGCTGTTCCTGCCCAATCGCTGGCCCTGGTCCCACAGTGAGTGGCCATCAGGTGATGGGAGCATGCCAGCCAGGGAAAGGGACCAAGAGGTGGTCAGTGTGCCCTTATAGAGAAGAGGCAGAAAGTCCGAGGCTTGCTGATTGGCTGTCGCCTCCCCCCTAGTTGGCTGTTTGTGAGTGGTTTTCCTTCGGTTTCCATTTCAGTAGCCTGAGGCGTTAACAGGTTATTTTTGTTTGCTTAGGCAGGCAGCTCTGGCAGTAGAGCCACCTCAGTTTAATCAACGTAAAACACCTAACACGTTGGAGGGGGAGCTCAGACTGAGCTCACCCTTCTCCCCTGAAGACAATCCTGAAAAATAAAGGCTTCTACCCCCAGGCCTGGGTACGGCTGTCATTCCGGGTTCTGCCTTGAGTCTGCTCAATAACTATAAAACTTTTGACTCGTTTTTTTCTAGTTCGTAACATAACAGTTTGTTGCAAGGATTATACAATTCATGTTGGAGGAGTGCCTCACATGTAGTAGGTTCTTGATCATGTGCAGGAAGACATCTGCTCTGTGACGCTGGGTGGGTCCCACCACCTCCATTCCTACCTCTTCACCTTCCACTCGAAGCTGAGAAGAGAGAGCTGAGCCCTGCTCATCAGCGTCTCAGGTCCTTGAAAAGCCCTAAAAGATACACCAGCAAAATAGGCACTGTATCTTTGGCACATTTCAACTTCACGTCCACGATTTGGGTTCTCCTTCCATTTTGCTTTTGAAACAGTCTTTGTCCTGGGACAACAGGTTTGCCAAGAACATAGGGGTCGTTGCTAACGTTTATCTCTTTTTGACAGTAACCCGATGCCTTTACCAAAATGTATAATCCCTTTGTACCTAAATGTTTATGCGTGTTGTTAAACCATAATGTAGAAGTATATAAACATTTTCACATGTTCTACCATATCAAATATGGTACGTATGATAATGATTAGAACCACCACCCTAACATATTGTGAAAAATGTCCCATATGCTTTTAATTATGGTTTCTGATTTTCAAGCACGCATTCAGGGGAAGGAGGAAGTGGCTTTCTATTTAACTTCTTTGCTGCTAACAGAATATGCATGTGTTTTGGCAAGCTTCCTGGAGAACATCTGTCTAAAAGGGAGCATTGAGGAGTTAATTGACATCTACTGAGCCCAAGGCAATGGCTGTATGGCCTATGAGGTCTCTGTTAAACTCCTTAACTGTGTCTCCCTTTAAGCACAGTAACAAAACATACTATTGATTCTGCTCTTTAAATACAAAAGCAGATCATGAGCGAAACCTAAACTGGTTTATTTACAGAAGAACTTCATGAAGTTGGTAAACAACTGAAACTCTTTTTCCAAAAGACCTTTGTGGGGAGGAGTTTGCCATGGCTGTGGACACGTTGCCAACGGCTAATCCCAAAGGAATGAATGGAAAAGGGGCTTCTTAGAATTGGGTGGCAGGGGTGGGGAGGGCTAGGATGGCAAAGCTAGCACTTTGACGTTACTTTGGGTCTGGTTGGAGGAAGCATGATGAAGGATTTGAAAAATAATGAAGTGCCCAACAATGTAGAGGAGCTGGCTGGACAGATATAAATGGAACTAGAGGCCCGGCTAATGAAATTTGTCCGTGGGTATGGTCCCTAGGCCTGGCCTGCGATCAGGGCCATATTCCCCAGCTGCCCACAGCCGGACCCACCCCCAGTTCCTGTTTACCATTGAGGAATCGATGCCTGATGGCCTGGGAAAGGGACCAAGAGGTGGTCAGTGTGCCTCATAGTGATTGGTCAAGTGGTTGTTCTGGTTATTCTGCCATTAGGGTCAATTTGCATATCACCCTTTTGTTATCACATATAGGGTAATAGGCAAATTGAGCCTCACAGTCTCACACAAAATGGCCGCACCCATGTGGTCAAAGATGGCTGCCACAAGATGGCCAGCAGGGGAGGGTAGTTGTGAGCAATCCAGGCCAGGAGGGAAGGGCAGTTAGGAATCACTAGGCCTGCAGGGGGGGTTAGGGGGGGACCAGGTCAGCAGGGGAGGACAGTTGGGTGTGACTGGGCTGGCAGGGAAGGGCAGTTGGGGGTGACTGGGCTGGCAGGGGAGGGTAGTTGGGGACGATAGGGCTGGCAGGAGAGGGAAGTTGGAGGCAATAAGGCTGGCAAGGGAGGGCAGTTGTGGGTTACTGAGCCAGCAGGGGAGGGCAATTGGGGGTGAGCGGGCCTGCAGGGGAGGGCAGTTGGGGGACCAGGCCAGCAGGGGAGGACAATTGGAGGCAACCAGGACTGCAGGGGAGGGCAGTTGGGGGTGATAGGGATGGCAGGAGAGGGTAGTTGGGGGCAACCAGTACTGCAGGGGAGAGCAGTTGGGAGGGACTGGGCCTGCAGGGAAGGGCTGTTGGGGGACCAGGCCCGCAGGGAATAGCAGTTGGGAACAACCAGGCCTGCTGTGGAGGGCAGTAGCGGGGTACCAGGCCTGCCTGCTAGGAAGGCAGTTGGGAAGGACCAGGCCTACAGGGGAGGGAATTTGGGGGAGACCAAGCCTACAGGGGAGGAGAGTTAGAGGTGCCAGATTTGCAGGGGAGGGCAGTTGGGGGCAATCAGGTCTGCAAAGGAGGGCAGTTAGGGGTGATTGGGCCAGAAGAAGAGGGCAGTTGAGGGCAGCCAGGCTAACAGGGGAAGGAAGTTGGGAGGGACCAGGCCTGCAAGGGAGTACAGTTAGGGGCAACTAGACTGGCAGGGAAGGGCGGTTGGGGGGATACTAGGCCTGCAGGGGAGGGCAGTTGGTGGTGATCAGATCTGCAGGGGAGGGCGGTTGCGGGGGACTAGGCCTGCAAGGTAGGGCAGTTGGGGGGACCAGGCTTGCAGGGGTGGGTAGTTGCGGGCAACCAGGCCTGCAGGGAAGGGCAGTAGAAGCAACCAGGCTGGCCAGGGAGGGCAGTTGCGGGATACTGAGCCAGCAGGGGAGGGCATTTGGGGGTTATCGGGCCAGCAGAGGAGGGTAGTTGGGGTCAACCAGGCCTGCAGGAGAGGGCAGTTAGGGTTGACTGGGCTGGCAAGGGAGGGCAGTTGGGAGAACCAAGACTGCAAGGTAGGGCAGTTGAGAGGACCATGGCTGCAGGGGAGGGCAGTTGGTGGGGACCAGGCCTGCAGGGGAGGGCAGCTAAGGGTAACCAGGCTGTCCAGGGGATGCAGTTGCAGGTTACAGGGCCAGCAGGGGAGGGCAGTTGGGGTTAACCAGGCCTACAGGGGAGGGCAGTTGTGGGGGACCAGGCCTGCAGGGGAGAATAATTGGGGGTGACAAGGCCAGCAGGAAGGACAGTTGGGGGGAACCAGGCCTTCTGGGGAGGACAGTTAGGGGTGACAGGGCTTGCACAGAAGAGCAGTTGGGGGAACCAGGCTTGCAGGGGAGGGCAGTTAGGGGCCACCAGCCTGGCAAGTGAGGACAATTGCAGGTTACTGGGCAGGCAGGGGAGGGCAGTTGGGGGTTACTGGGGCTACAAGGAGGGCAGTTGGCGGGGGCCGGGCAGGCCTGGAAAGGCAATTGGGGGTGATCAGGCCTGCAGGGGAGGGTAGCTGATTGCAACTAGGCCTGTAGGCAAGGCCAATTGGGGGTGACCAGGCCTACAGGTGAGGGCAAGTGGGGCTTACTGGGCTCACAGAGGCAGCAGTTGGGGTTACCGGGTCTGCAGGGGGGCTGCTGGGAGTGATCAGGCCGCCCGGGAAGGGCAGTTAGGGGCAATTGATCCAGCAGGGGAGCAGTTAGGCGTTGATCAGGCTGGCAAGAGACTGGTTAGGGGGTGATCAAGCAGGTAGGCGAGTGGTTGGGAGCCAGCAGTCCGGGATTGTGAGAGGGATGTCCAACTC